ATAGATATGTTAAAGTATGATGTAGTGAAGTGTAGATATATTAAAGTATGATGTAGTGAAGTATAGATATGTTAAAGTATGATGTAGTGAAGTGTAGATATATTAAAGTATGATGTAGTGAAGTGTAGATATGTTAAAGTATGATGTAGTGAAGTATAGATATATCAAAGTATGATGTAGTGAAGTATAGATATGTTAAAGTATGATGTAGTGAAGTGTAGATATATTAAAGTATGATGTAGTGAAGTGTAGATATGTTAAAATATGATGTAGTGAAGTACAGATATATCAAAGTATGATGTAGTGAAGTATAGATATGTTAAAGTATGATGTAGTTAAGTATAGATATATTAAAGTATAATGTAGTGAAGTATAGATATATTAAAGTATGATGTAGTGAAGTGTAGATATATTAAAGTATGATATAGGGAAGTATTTTAGAGACGTTTAATCTATGTCCGGAGAGTTATTGCGGAAAGTTCAGAGAGTTATGAAAGTGCCAAATGAGACATATAAACGGTATGGAACAAGGCTGCACGAGTTGCTAGTTAAATGGATTAACTGTACTTGACTGTAGATGCTGAGAAGATTGTAGATTTGACGTTGAAGAGCAAATTTTGACAAAATTACCAACACAGTTAGTAATATGGTTAAAAAAAAAGATAGGTAGATCACAAACGCACGTAAGACATTGGTTTTAGCGGATAAATATGTATTAACAAGGAAACACAGCGGATTAGTAGTAGGGGGAGATCAAGCTAGTATAAATACCTACCGCAAATAAATAAAACTAGATAAACGATCCCAGAAAATTGTAAGGAAAAACCTTTCCACAGAGTGATTTTGTGGATAAGGAAAGAAATTAAAAATATTCGCCAAAATGTTTTATATGTGATTAAGTAGGAAGAATAAGAATATTATAGAAAGAAGGGAGAATGTTATGTATTATACTGAAGGCAAAACGAAAAAATTCAAATAAATACTTTGAAGAAGTGACGAAGAAGTGACCGGGATACCGGTAGTTGGAAAACCCTGGAGCAGGAGGGTCTCACTGCACTTTATCACCACTTAAACTCACATTGGAATAGTCGAGCTTTTCAAGATGGAATAATCGTACGGTTGGCGGATGGTATCTGACATCCGGTTTTACTTGGTAATAAGGTAGAAGCTGTCGGATTGCAGAATACACGAATATCGGTGGTGACACATAGCCAATATAGGAGTAGAAGTTAATGAAGACACCGATCATCAAGGAAACAATGCAAATAATGAATTTCTACTAGAATAGGAAATATATATCGGGAATAAATGATTAACTGACAACTACAAGATGAGAGTTTGGATGAATGCCGCAGTGAAGCCGTGGTGGAGGAACATAAAATAACTAAACTCGGGCGAAATTATTATTACTGGCAGGAAGGAGTAATATGAAATAGCTGGTAAAGATCAAATAGTACTCCCAAATGAATATAGATGGAAGCTATTAGTGTTAAAGCATGATGCAACTCTAACACTAGAAAATATAGACATAATTAAAATGAAAGTTAGGATTAGTAGGAACTATTATGGCTGGGTATGTTTGGAAACATATATATATATATAAGACTGTGAATTGTATTGTGATATAAGTAAAACCACTGAAAATTATCAGTGCTCCGCAAAATACTGTGAGAGTTAAAACAATTTAACGAAAAAGAGTGATAACACCGAGATTGAGTACAATCAACATTGTTCGATGCAAGAATCGGTTAGCGTTGAGATATGTGAGAAAGTTGGTCAGTTCCTATGGGATTAGGTGGATTACAGCATTAAGTGGCTAAAGAATTAGTTGAAGATCGGCCACTTTTCTAAGTACAGAGGATTTGGAAGCTACAAGAACCCCTATATTTATAAGACGTTTAATTCGATATTATTAAAACATATGTGTTGACATGGTTTAGAGAAAGATATACAAAAGACGAGACGACCAACGAGATGAAAACCGATCAGATGTGAGAGCCTAAGAATAAACGGAGAGTGAATTGCATGGGAAAATACGATGCCAGTAAGAACCAAAACTAGTCCTAAGCCTAATTTCCCTATATGTTAATGATATAGTAATAAACTGAAATTTCTTATGTTTATATTAGGGTCAATTTCCAATAGCAATAAATATATCCTTAATAAGGTTGAATGGAAAGGGGCGTGCGAATATAACACGATCATAACAAAGTAGTGAAGATGGTGTAAAAAGATAACCTACCATGGTTATTGAAATCTGATGTTTAGCATTACAAGCCCTCAGACTTACTACTGAGCCATTGGGGGTGGGTGGGAGTGGAGGAAAAGGTACTTTAAACACTAAAATCACTTCACTGCCCGCTGTTTTGGCTTTAGAAAGCAGTTCTTACTCTCCAGAAACATCAACGAACTATTCCACTATTATCATTACACTAAAATATTAGACAAAAAGCAATATGTGAATGAAGAAGCAAAAGTAATTAAGAATATAATAAAGGAAAACACCTCTACATGATGATGTACAAACGTAGGACGAGATACTTCACATTGGAACGTTTTCCTACACTTTTATTTTCTATAAGTTTTTTTTTTGTTAGAACTGTCATAAGCTATTTACAACGCATTATCTAAACATAAAAAAAAACAAGCCCATTCAACATCAGATCCAGAACCATTTAATATTGTAATGCAGATACGGCAGTAAGTTTGTATATAGTTAAATAGTCGGCCTACTGTATGCATAATTGGGATCATGCAATGGAGCTTTTTACATGTTTTGTTAATAAAAATAATTTTAGAAACTATGTATTCTATTTGATTATTAGATAAGGAATCTATTTTCTTCCTAGAAAACAAGAAGACAGAACTAATGCAGCGACAAACGTAGGTATCATTTACGTTTTACATAAGAATATATATTGAGAGTAAAACTGCCCTTTTAAGACTAAAAATACGTGGATTTCGTGTCTAGGTTTAGGTTTCGCTCATTTTCAGTTAATTACCAAGTCATCAGCTTAATTCTTTAATAAAGATTACTGTTAAAAAAAGAACAAGAAAAATGAGAGGTATATTAAACTTCTGGTTTCAGACTAAAAGAATAGCGAGATATTCAATATATATATATATGTCACCCGTCATATACATTATATTTGTTCCTTAGGTTGAATAGTAAATCGCTGTGAGCAAATGTTACACTTTTTTTTATAATGCTTTTTTCTGTCCGTGAGCTCAAATGAATTAACTTTTACGTATTGCAGCAGTTTTTATTACAAAAACATACACAAAAAATATACATTCAATATAGCTTGAGCCATTCGGAAATTCCAAGTTAAAAAGAAAAATAGAATAATCTAACATTTCCTTCCTAAGCAGGCCTGAGGGACGAGAGCTAACTGTTGATGACACCCCAGGGGGCGCTTCCCCTCTTCTGACGATCCTTGATAAACCTGATGGAAGCCCCCTATTGAAACCTATTGTTGGAGGTATGAACAAATATCTGTTAATTTCACCGGGGGAGTGTTCACTTACTCTACTATTCATTTTCTTCAAATACTTCCATGCTTAAAGACACTTATGAGTCTACATTGAAATTGCTTTCTAAGTGTGTAATGGTTATTTCTCCTCCTTTCGTCGGCAACCCGAATCAAACTCAGAAGCTACCATGTGTATATATATAAATTCGTTATATTATTGTTGTCCTGCCAGGCAAATATCACATTTATATAAAAAAACAATATGATAGCAGTACGTGGTGCCTTAGTATTGTATTGCTTTTACTGACAAAAAAAAGAGAAAACGATTACTGTAAATAATATATGTATATGACTGATCTTAAAAATAGAAATTGTCTTCATACTGTAAACAGATCTCAACTGTACCGAACTGGTAACTGGTGATCGCGTGGGCCGCCCTCTACACTTCCCTATTAATCGAAATGGAAACGATCGCAGATGACATGGTAATCAAGGTGAGTAGTAAATAAATGTTACTGTGTTATAGATAAATAATCAAAAACGAATCTGCCAATATATAGTTATTGAACGGTGAGTAGTAACGAATCCGCCAATATGTAGTTATTGAACGATGAGAAGTAACGAGTCTGCCAATATATAGTTATTGAACGGTGTGTAGTAACTCAGTGTTATTGTATTTCAGATATATATATAACCAAAAACGAATCTACGAATATATAGTTATTGAACGGTGAGTAGTAACTCAGTGTTATTGTATTTCAGATATATATATAACCAAAAACGAATCTGCCAATATATATAGTTATTGAACGGTGAGTAGTAACGAATCTGCCAATATATAGTTATTGAACGATGAGAAGTAACGAATCTGCCAATATATAGTTATTGAACGATGTGTAGTAACGAATCTGCCAATATATATAGTTATTGAACGATGAGAAGTAACGAATCTGCCAATATATAGTTATTGAACAGTGAGTAGTAACTCAGTGTTATTGTATTTCAGATATATATAACCAAAAACGAATCTGCCAATATATATAGTTATTGAACGGTGAGTAGTAACGAATCTGCCAATATATAGTTATTGAACGATGAGAAGTAACGAATCTGCCAATATATAGTTATTGAACGATGTGTAGTAACGAATCTGCCAATATATAGTTATTGAACGGTGAGTAGTAACGAATCCTCCAATGAGTAGACATTGACGTTAAAATTATAAAAACATACTTTATAAAAACTTTAAAAAATTGAAAACCCTTATGTGGTGATAGTCATTTTACTACGGAAATGTGGCAACCGTTAAAAACAGAATTGTAAACGATTGTTTTAAAATTAACAGATATAAAAAAGGATCACAAATTACTATAAAACTATTGTGGATATGAAGAAAGTCTCAGTATAAAAGTCGAAACGTCGTCACACCCTAGAAACAATCTGTTCTGTGTTGTGGATATCTAATTTTCAGTGAGATACTTTAAAAATATTCTATTATTTCATATTCATTTTAATGTATACTAATTCAAAACTACAGAAATGTTTTTGAAATGTCTTAACTATAAGTTTTTAAGAAAGAAGCTTCACTTTCTTTTATAACAATCTAATTGTAGAACTTGACAAAAGAGATATATGCTGACAACGCTCCGTTTCTTTTTTAGCACTGACACCTTACATCAAGGATATTGGGACTTTCCTGATCATCACATGATTTAGGGTGCTTTTCAGTACCTAGCCGTACATATACGACAAAAGGTTTTGGCTAAAGGAATGGTTAGAGTAAACATTGTGGCATTTTTTATGAGAGATAACACTTATTTTTAGATACTTGATTCCTTAAATCTTAAAAAAATTCTTTACCAATGATTTAAAAGAACCATGTCATTTGAAGATAGCAGACAAGTGTAAAGAGAGTCTTATTTAAATAACAATGATAACGGAATGGTAAAAAAAAAAAAGATTTGACCCTTTTGAAGCTACAACTAAAACGTGTATGTATTGCAGCCCAAGAAAATAATAAAAAATAATATGTTTAAGTCTTATGCTTTTTACTTTATTTCATCACTGATACACAGTAAACGACATGTATTTATAACTGAATGAATAAAATATTAGGATCTCGTTACACTTAAGACAATAAACTCTGAATTATGATTTCTTTCTTACAGTTGAAAAAAAAGGAAAATTTGTGTTAAATACAAACAACTTGTCTGGTGTGTGTATGATTATAACACAAGCTCAAGTGGAAAATAACATAATCATTACGAGCTAACTAAACAGAATACAGATGTTTTTACCTCGTTGACTGGTGCACAGTCTTTGTATAGAAATCCATATAATCTACAAATGCTTAATAAAGATATGACTTTACAACAGAATAACGTGTTTAAAATTCTTAATTGAAAACCGCACATTATTTGGGTTCTTAAATAACTCGAAAAGTTGCACGTTTATGTCGTTACAATAATATAATGTGTTATAATCCACACAAGCCTGTGTTTGTGGAGTAGTTTATGATGTCATGAAATAACACTATGTTTGTGTTAGTTTAAAATACAACCTTTTTACAGTATACTAATTCCAAATACCAGTAATGAATAATTTCTACTTATTTTATAGTTAGTTGCACTTAAAAAAATAATTTTTTTTTTAGTATTTGCAATGACGGTTTACCCTTCAGATGCAGTAATCATAAGTACTTCTTATTCTTCATATAAATAATATATGCTATGTTATTTCAGAATTGCTCGTCGCATATGAAGTAATTCTAATAGATATTGAAATTATATACACCGTAATATCTGAAGATTTGTATGTTTCATAGAAGTATACTTTGTAAATTAATTTTTACAAATAATGAAATATTTCTACGAATAAATGCTTCTCTTCTCTAGAAACTGCATAAAAATATTAATTTTTTTTAGATTTATAACATTTTGGTTATGACCAGATGAAACTACTGTTGTAAAATGATGTTAAGTATTCTCATCTCAGCTCATTTCTATGAAACATTGGGTATCGGATATTCTGCCATATGATCTGAAATACAAAACTTAGTTCATTCAACGGCCCAGCATGACCAAATGGTTAGGGCGCTTGACTTGCGGGTTCGAATCCCTCTCACACCAAACATGCTCGCCCTTTCAGCCGTGGGGACGTTATAACGGGACGGTCAATCCCACTATTAGTTGGTAAAAGAGTAGACCAAGAGTTGGCGGTGGGTGGTGATGACTAACTGCCTTCCCTCTTGTTTGTTTTGTAGTCTTTTTTGTTTTTAAATTTCGCGCAAAGCTACACCAGGGCTATCTGCGCTAGCCGTTCCTAATTTAGCAGTGTAAG